ACGTGATCTTCGAACAACAAACGTAGAAATCCTTAAATCCTAAATCAACCTGCTGCGAAGCCGAAACCGAAAGCAAACTGCAAACAAACGGGCGGCAGTGGAAACGTGAGGGTAGCCCCGTGGTCCAATCTGGCGAAAGTCAAATATTGGGTGACTAAATAGAACGTGCTTCTGCGGGCCATTTCAGTCATCGCGATTTAATGGCGGTGTGCTTCGCGGCTAATCCTATTTTATTATCGTTTTCGACGTTTATACGAGGAAACCCTCTTCCGAGCGATCCACGAATGGACGAATTAAGGGGTTATTCTGGTATGGATATGGAGAACCTCGTGCATTTTTATGGGACGCGAACAATAACCGAACTTTCGAGCGCCGGGAAAAATAACATCGACTCGTCCTTTTGGATATCGAGCACGTGCTGGTAATGTATAATTGAGCCATTCATTGCGCAAATCGATTAACTCCACGAAACAAAAAGTGGACAAATGCGACGAAATAATGTACATTGGTTTTGAAAATTCCGTTTGTAATATAAATTCAAGTATTAGGGGGGCCAGAAAGTAATTTCATTTCTTTTCAAATAGAACAACTTTATACTTTTACCTAGCGACCAAATTCTCAATACTTCTCAATACTTTCTGGTTCCCTTAATAAATATTGTAGAACAAATACAGATGTAGCTTTCATCTAACGGTATACAAAATTAATTAGAAAGAATAGCCAAGAAATAATCGTCAGTAACGTTACAATTTTTATGCGACTGGAGTTAATCGAATTGTGCAGGGAATGGCTCAATTAACCCCGTGTATGTAAAATACACGTACATCAATTAACAGAATTTCGAATTTAAGTTTGATGCATTATAGAAAACTTACAGAATTTGTTGCTGTTCCTCGTTCAGAAATTCAGTCGTCCACTCGCAAGTTGCATCGAGAGCGTCGTCCTGGTGCGTTTCAGAGTCTTCCCGGAAATCGTCTTCAGCGAGCAATCTCCGTTCGCCTCGGCTCACGGTGGGCAAAGACACCTCAATCGGAGGTGTCGTAAAAAATGCTTTTCGCGAGTGCCCGAGGGAAGCTTTTAAGTCGGTCCTTATCTGAAACGACCTGGCTTCTCGCTGGCGGTAGTTGGGCGTCGAATGAGAGCGAACGAGGAAAAAGGAGGAACGAGGAGACATAGTAGCAGGGTCGCCGAGGCAAGACAATGACCGCTGTTCAAACACCGGACTTCAAACGGTTGCCGCGCACCGCGAGCAGTCGACGCCGTTGCGTTCGAGCGGCACCTCTGGAACGGAGGAACGCATTCCCGCGGGAGTTTAAGGACATCCGGCGACTGAAATAACAAATATTTGTGCCACGGAAGGTTGCAGACTTGGCGAACCCTTTCATTTGTAACGACAAGCTCGAAATTAGTGCCGCGGCGAAGGGAAACGAAGTTAGTGGCTCTCTAGGAATGTTTTACTAGGACCGTGCTCCTCTTGGGGCACCAGCTACCACGCTCGCGATAAACCCTGAAATAACCAAGTCTTTGTAAACACAGGTGCAAATAACAACTGGTTCGACACGTTGACGAACACGATTACCTGTAGAAATTTTATTTCGCCCGTTCCTGCGCCGAGAAATTCGTGCGTGCCGCCACTCCGAGGTAAAACCTTCCGAAGTTCGGGGCTCGATCGACGTTTACACCAAACATGGAATAATCGGCGACCATTCTCTCTCGCGGGGCGACCGGCAATTGCGACGTCGAGAAAATTGCAGGAATGCCGGGAGAAGTGGGTCGATTATCTCTCGGCGTTCCGCGGCGGTTGGCGTCAGAAACGAGACTCGTGTTGCGAGTCAGTACGGACTCGTGTCCCGAGTGACTTAATTAACAGCAACGTTTGACTCTAACGAGAGAAGTGATTCCTCGTGCACAATGACGAGTATTGATTGCGTCCTCTGTCGCGGCAGCGCCGAGACTCCAGCGGGAATCTCGCCAAAAGTCGAGAAAACAGCTTCCAACGATTCGTTGTTTACGTGAATTATGCAACGAGGAGATGAAATGGACCACCTGGTTTGTATTCTGACCCTGCGAAAGGAAATGATTCAATTAGATGTACTGAATGACGGGTTGATGTTATTGGACACGTTATTTAAAAATAAAAATGACACGTATCTAAATATTATTTAAAAGTAACACGTCTTTGTCGTTACACGGAATTTACCCTAATTATATGGAGTCTAAAGTAAATTAGAAGTAAATACTGTAATTAGAGCAATTATTAGATGTATTGAATGATGTACTGATGTTGTTGAACACGTTATTTACAAAAATAAAAATTAATTTGACTGATCATAATGGAATTGTTCAAATTACTTTGAAAAAGATCTGAAGAAATAGTAATAGTATCACGTCTCCATCACTACATGGAAATAACTCTCATTACAGTCACTCCTATAAATATTCGTACCCTCTGTTTATTGAAGGAATTTGTCTAAATTAAATAACTGGTTTGATATTCTGAAATAAAGTCATAATGAAATATGATGATGTACATAATAAATACGAATAAGCTTCTACATATTTATAATGAAAAATTCATTTGATCAAATCTATTATTTAATTCAGACAGACTTCCTTAGCAGACGAAAAGTGTACGAATATTTAAGTGACTGACTGCATATGGTGTCTGAACTAAACTAAAAGTAAATGCAGTAATGATGTAATTACCGTAAATCGATGAATCGAGAATTGCTGTGTAGTTATGTACCGTGGCAATTCTCTGTTACGAGCTCTGTGTCGTTGAACCGTTCGCGGTTGGATTGTAAATGAGACTGGCAACGGTCGGCTGTTTTTTCTAAACTTGAAATATCGACAATGTCATGTTTACATCTAAGAGACCATACCTAGTCGAATTTCAGGCCAACGATTCCAGGAAGTGGGAATGACTTTGGCAAGGGAATTCCTTGTGACGAAATAACGATAAGAAAAACAGTACCGAGCCGCGTAAACAGAATTTAACGGACAACGTAATACCATCTAACAGCGTCGTTCAAATTTGTTGACCGGCAATTTTAAACAGAAGCGACTTCGCGTCACCGTTACTTCGTAATTCAATATAAAATTAAGAGAACCTAAATAAACTGCGATAAACTTTATTTATACTTTACCAAAATTAAATGTTTTTCTCTTTCTTTTCTTTTTATGATTTGTAAATAATTATGTGATGTAGGTGAAAGTTCTTCCTTGTGTAAAAATTACAAGAAATAAGTTATCTATATTTTACCAACAAAATGAATTGAAATGAAATCTTTTACGTACTTTTTATATAACTATACAATTTTTATATATCGCCCTGGGTTTCGTCAATTGAAATATTAGACCCATTAATTTATTTTACGTTCTACTACGTATCATGGAGGAAAATATTCGCTCGTTCAAACGGGCGAATATCCATTGGAGGGAAAGTAATACCAAAATTACTAGAGGCGCTAGAATTTCCAGTAGCGAAATGAAATTTGGCAAAGCGTCGTTGTTTGCCAGGCGTGGACGTTGAAGCGGCAGATTTCGCTGTCCACTTTGCCAATTCGCGACGGTTTTACCGTTCCTCGAACAATCTACAAACGAAGAAGTTCCCGAGCCTAAACACGGCTGGCTCCTCTCGAGGCTGCCAATTATTCCCTGCCACACGTCGGCGCGCTGATGGAACAGCCCGCGAAAGAGGCGTAGGGACGTGATAAATCTCCCTGGGGGAAAAAACTAGCTGCCCAAAAATATATGCAAGCTGTAGATGGATGGGTGGAGTGCAAGGGCGGTGCCCGGTGCCGAACAGTCTCGTCTTAGTTTGTTTCTCAGGACTTTTTTGCCCCTCCGTGCCTCTCTCTATCTCTCTCTCTCTCTGGCTTCACCCTCTCGGCGTCCTTTCTGTACATTTTTTAGCGTATGAACGATTAGAAGAGGGCGGACGCTCGTCAGTCAAACCTTGAACTCGTTTCTGGCGTATGCAAATGGAGGGCCGCATTGTCTTCGACGTTCGACTTTCGTCGTTTAATGGCTTCGAATATAGCGAGCTAGAGCGATATCGTCGCCCTTCGAGGGCGGAGAACGTGCGACAGGGTGGCGGGTAGAAGATGGAGGTCAGACATAATTTAGGAGTTAGGAGTGACATAATTTGGAATTATTGTTTCAATTTTTGCAGAAAATGATTCTCGCGTTCCTATTCTCTAGAGTGTAGGCGTTCCGAACCGATGCTTTGTCAGAAGATAAATAGCAGCCTGTGTTAACTTAGAGCAGCTCTATCCACTCGCCAAACAGGCAGGAATTAGCCGAGACTAGGGGCCAGTTGTTAAAACGCGCCGAAAACACGAATAGACTTAGTGTAGCTCGTGCAAATACAGTTGAATATACAAGGTTCAAATTTTCTGCTAAAAACCAGAACAATTTTCAAACGGTCGCTTTTTCGGACTTATTATTAGCTTGTCCCGAAAGTTTCTTTCGCTTTATTAATAAATAATACATGCGCAATAGTTTATGTATTATGTTACATTGCTGAATTTTCCACGATTCATGTTGCTCCATTACTGTTACAACATGAATATATATGAAATCAGATTGTTTATTTATATAAACACGACCACAGAAAATAATTGAGTGCAACTCGCGGAAGAAACTTTCGGGACAACCTAATATTAAGCTACACGTTGTATATTATCTTCGGTATTCTCATTCGAAAGCACTATTAATTTATTTGAAACATGCCTAGATTCGCATCTTTGCAAAGTGAATAAATCTCCAAAAATATCCATAATAACCCATATCTACAATTATTTCTCCTTTTTCGTTTATGTCTTCTAATAGCACACACGGTATATTGTACCTAATATTCGTGGAATTGTTTCCTTTGTATTTACATATCCGAAGAAGGTCAGTAGTTAACTAGAACCGTTGGGTTTTGGTTCTTACACTGTTTTTGTATTTTCGAAGGAGTCCTCGTAGCAGCAGCAGTCTTTGTTTGCGAACGCTACGTACACGTACGAGAGCGAATAATGTAAATACATATAATAAGGACTTCTCAGTGGCAGTGGTCGACCCCGTATTCGAAGCCAGTTCAGTTGAGAATTTTCATTTGAGAGCGACAGTTTCGATCGGGATGAACGTAGTGGATTTTACGAAGGAATTTACGGAGCTGATTAGTCGTTGGAAGAGGCCCACTTTTGCAAACGTAAAGTATATGATACGTTTATATATAATAAGTATATATATAATAATGATTTTTCTAAAAGCTGTCCGATTTCGCGTAAAATATTTTCTATCGAGAACGACGACAAATCCGTGTATCGCATTGTACGCGTTTTAAGCGAGAACTCTACTAAAAATGCTGCGATATTTGTAAAGTATCACTGATCAATTTTTATTACACCGAAGTGAATTCTATTCTGCGTTTGAAATTTGAATTATTTTTAATAACTGAGTCGCTCTTAATTCTTTCGAATTGCGAACTCGGGCACAGCTCTTGATCGATGATAATTATTTTTTAATCAAGTTCGAGTGAACAAAACGTATTTGTCAATGCTGTATTCGAAAGTGTTAGATGGATAAAGTTTGAACGTTTCGATAGGTAGATGGCAGCCAGTCCCCGGTAGTAACGAACGATAAATTGTTAAACGCGATACAAGATGTGCTTCAAGTACAGCTGGGAGTGAATTTGCGAATGCCTGACTATTCTTCAGTGAAGACACCTGCGACAGGAATCGCAGTATGTACTCCGAACGCACCTACGATCTTAAAGCCGGACATCGAAAGTGGTGGCTATTTGGCGAGGTAGGTGATCTGTTTCTGAAACTCTTCGAACGTTGCAATTGCTATTTTAATTATAAATTTATTCTTTTAGATTCGGATCGCTGGATACTTTGATGCTATCGTGTGAATCCAAGAATATCCTCAGTCCTGCCACCGAACCACCGAAAAGTGGGGGAAAGATGGAGGTCGTTGAGAACAAGGCAAGTAAATATAATACATAAGTGATCTGTACTAAAAAAAAAACTGTTCCTTTCTTCTGTACGTGCTTACTTTCTTTGAATATACAGTTTGTATAGTTTGAGAATTTTTGGAAGTTCCTTAGTGGTTGCTAATCAGACTATAGATATTTAAAGTTTAAAAACACTATTGTAAAATACGTATATTTCTACAATTTTCAGCGAGTCTTAAGATCCGACAAAGTAAATCACGCAAACTCCGCCAAGAGAAGCGACACGTTCGTTCGCGAAGAAGCTAGAAAGAAATCAATGAATGGCGTCGTGAACCAGAAGGGAGACGATGGTTCCCCGCGAAAGGAGCCAGTCATTAACGATCTAAAGAAAATCATAAATGATATGCTCGTGCTACGAAGGCACGCAGCGGACGTCGTATCGAAAATCGACGACATGAAGCAGGTAAAGTAATTTATTATTGACCCGTGTTTAAGAAAGGAATATATATAATGTAATGAAACTTGGAGAACATGTTTACATACAATCAGTGTGAGAACTATTCGTACAGCAACCAATTTAAAATAGAACTGACAAGAGAAGAAATAAGAAGTTAACATTAAAAGTAATAGACTCTAATTCATGCGAAATCTACTCTAAAAATATGTAGGAATGTCGGGCATTTTGCAAACAAGCAGTTTATATCTTCCATATTTGCCAAGGAAATACTTCCAAAAAATTACAATATTTACTTGAATATATGTATAAAATGTTCTGAAAGTTTCATTCAGTTATGTACATTCGTTTCTTGTTACAGAAATTCACGCAAATCATTAAAAAGAAGTCCTAAACCTATTTCACCTTTAAAACCACTTTTCCTACAATTTCAATGACAATTATTAAAACAATTTCTAACACAGAGAAATCTTAATTCCACAGAAAGTGTATCCACAGACAATAAAGCCTATTCGGCGCCTGTCCTCCGTCGGCGTTTATTCCAGCACGAGTCGTACCTCGACGCTGACGAGACCACCTCCATCGTCGAAGCATCGAAGATCTACTTCCGGTGTTCTGGGTACACCCACGTCTTCGAAATTGAATCTGGCGCCTCCAACAGAGAAAAGCATCCCTCTGCAGAAGCGCAAGAGCACCTAAGATCGCGACAAATCTCTACTGCGGACTTTTTAATTACCCTAATCTTCGATACGCGTCAGGAAAGCGTAATAATGTACAGAAATCGAGTCAAGGACTCACTTCCGGTTCCCTGGACCGTGGTAACGGATTAACTTAACAAGGACTCGAGATTAGGCGTCGATGAAGAGACGGGAAATTGGGGCTGCGTTTGCGTGTTGAACTCCATACGGAAGCTCGAAACGAAGAAAACGAAAGCTAAAGAACTCGAGAGATTACGAAGTCAATTGATCAGGTTATGTTCTACTAATGACGTGCGTGACTCTGCGGTTTCGTTTGCTAAGACCGCTGATAGATGCCAGAAAACGCATCGACCCGATATCGCGTAAACCAGCATGGACGTTCGATTTGATCATAGTTGAAGTTTCGATATGCCGAACGAGGCAACCTAATTCAGTCATGTGTCGAAAAATTCGCGTCATCGATGAACTTCGTCGAATCACCGTATTCGTCGTTTCTTCCCGCTCGGCGTCGAATTGCTAATCCGTTTTCGTTTAAGGATGTGTTTACATTAATGTACGTACTTTCTTAGACGAAAATGGTAATTCGATGTTGAAGAGAAGAGGAACGATGATTCGATCGAATTTATCGATGACGCGTATCTTCTATCACACGATCGAATTAGGGTACCTCGATTTCGCATATCGAGAAACTAAACGATGATTAAAATCGAGTCTGTACTGTTTTTCGCAATATCGGGTCGCTGCGTTCTTCTATCGACTATCAGGGGGTTGACGGAACGAAACCGCAGATGCAGCACGAAATCGTTAGAATGGAATCGAATTGTTGCACCGTCTATTGCTCCCTCGAATCTCCGCGCTCTTCTCTCATTTTAAGTTCAGGTATGGCGCTCGGTACGTGAACAAGTTCTCAATTTATCGTTGAGTACTCGGCAGTTAACTGTGAAGCCTTGTTAGCTTAATTCCTTGTTATGTGATTTAACGAACATTGATGGTAGTGATATTAATTTTATATTTCGGACTAGAATCGATACTTATAAAAATAGGTAGTCTTGCGTAGGATGGATTTAGGTATAATAGGTGTATTTCTTCGAGTTCTCAATGTTTCGTTCATGATCGAGTCCTTTTTAGAATACAATTATTTTTAATTAACTTGTTCGATCCTTCGAGCAGGATGACGCTTTTTGGAATATCCTCGTTAATTTCGATTCTCTGAATGGTCTTGTTCGATTTTCTACTTTGATATCTGTCCATTGTGTAACTTTTTCAAACACTTCCCTAGCACCATTAGACTTGTGTTAATATTCTGCGATTCCTGCGATCTGTCTCCGATATTTAATGTCTTTTTTAAACGTCCTGTGTTGACTTGTACAGAATTAGGGTCGTTCTCGATATAGTACTTCAAAAGTTTGATGGTAAATACACAGTGAGATCTTGAGCTTTAATTTGTACTGTCCGGAATTTTGTATATAATATTGTCTGGAATTATTTTATTGACCTGAACAATTACTATCGACTTTGTTATTTAGTGTCCACTTACTTCTCGTACACAATTGCTTGAAATATTTAATAAACGATAGTAACGTTATGAGAGAATGTACTAGTGCATCCTGCCCACTAATTAATTAATTTATATTCAACACCATCCAATCACTCAATCACGAATGAACATACTAAGAGTACATACCAAGTAAAATTATTTTTCACCCTCCGGATCCGATAAAATGCCAACGAAACGTTTCAATTATTTGTATCGCGTTTCGATGAAGTTGCATCACCGCGGTCTCACGCGCGTACTTTCGAAACTCGATCGGCGGCTCGACGTGGGTGAACATCGACCGCGGGCGGTGCTCTGGATGATGCATTTTCGTCGTCTTTTTTCCCTCGTACACCTTGCGTTCCCGAAGCTGCACCGCGTTGCAGAAATGAGAGCGGCGGGAGGCGAAAATTGTTAAGCCACGGTTCGTTGTTTGATCGCGGACGAATTCTAGCCCGGAGCGTCGCCGCGGGCCACCGTCGCCGATCTGTGTGCAGATTCCTCTCAGAAATGGGCGTGAAGATCGATTTTCTCTTTTTAATGATTTATCGCCTCGATTTCGTGAGCGGTCCGCGTCCTAAGATTTTAATCGACCGGACACTGGCACCGCTTCTCTTCGATTCATCATCGACCCACCGCGGGCACAAGTACCCCGAAATACGGCAGTTTGTTGCAAATTGCGATCGAAGACAACTACAGAGTACGTGCGGTTGTCTTTAGTAGGTTGGGGAGAATTCGTAGAATTTACGGTGAATAAGTAACGGAGTTTCTGAGAATACCTTGATACACTTTCCAAGAAAAATTGCGGTGGAGATAACTAGAGAATGCACCGTTTAGTTTGAGAAGGTTGGGCAGAATCGGTAGAATTTACAATGTACGATAAGTAACGAAAATAATAATAATCGAAGTAGATATTCTTTCCCATCCAGTTTCTTGAAATACCATCAATCAACAAATCATTTCTTCTGTAATCACATTCCCAACAAAATACCTGTGCATCTCCTCGTCAAAGTCAAGGTGTGAAACAAGCATCAAATTGTAAAATGACCACATTCCTGAAGTTTCCTCGCGAACACGATAATCTAGCCTGCTTATATCCTCATTTTCGACCTAATTTCCATAATATTTCCTGTAAAAAGCGAGCTCCGCTTCGCGGGACCTGTCGAGAGGACTACATCAGCGGTATCATGTCATCAGCTCGGCCAATTCGAATACTCTTATTAATATTAATGAACAAATACTTTTTCTGGGAGCGACGTGGACTGTAATGACACGTTCCCTCGGTCGCCATTAATACCGGCCCGTGATCATCGCGGTACCCAGCTGCCACTTTGTCCAGAAACGTATTTGCGGCGCGGCTCCGCGTCTTTTTGCCACTCACGAACCAACCCTTTTCTTCCACGCTGCTCACCGCGGACGAACGAGCCTCTTCTTCCTCCCCGCGAACGCGAGTCGTCCGCCTATCCTGTCCTATCCGACGGAAGACGTTTCGGGGGACGACCAATTTGCCCGGCAAAAACGGATCGCATCTTTCAAAAACATACTTGCGGACGGGGGAAAAAGCGTGGCAAATTCGGGAAAGGACGACGGGCGCACACGTGAACGCGGAATTTTTACCGTCTGGGACATTTAACACCCTCTTCCATTTATACCCCGTACTGGCGTGGAGAGATGAATCCTATAAATCATAAAGCAAATCGCGCTAAAAGGCTCGGGAGTTCGTTGACTTCGATTTCGGACACCTGCGACGAGTTCGACGGCGGAAATTTTTGCTCCATATGTGCGGCTAGACTGTGATTAACAGGTTAGCGGGACTTTTCACGTGGGTTATCGAATAAATTGAGTTTGGAAGTGAAGGGATTCAGAGATGAAGGGAACGATATAGAGGAATATTTAGAAGAAATATTGTTCCTATATAGACGAGAAATTTTAGTGATATCGTCAGTAAAAATTTCGTACACAATTTTTTCAGGATGATTGACAAACTCGATGGACATTTATGTAGCTTAAAATTCACATCTATGTATACATTTTTGAGATATTTGTACTATTAACGACACGTGATTTAGAACACAGCATTCAGGATCTGTACCATTTTCAATAAACATAGAGGGTACGAATACTTATATTGACTGACTGTATGTTCATATTGCGAAGGTGATATACCAATCTACCAAATATGTATGAAACTCAGCTGTAATGCAAGAAACTAAATTATCATGTAAACATACATTTTGCTCTCTGGGTTAAACTGCTCATAAACTGATGAATTCCCTTGTCAGCCATGTACCATCAAGAAAAACTACCCCGCAGCCGCCACAAGAATTAATCAATAATACCCGCCCTTGATACAAGGGTAATCGACCACTCAACCTGTTGAGCCAATCCGCTAAGTAAACCAATTGCACGAAAAATCTCCAAAGAACTGCTGTACCTCTCGACCGTCTAAATGAAGGAAAAGAGCGCAAGTATCCGATCACGCGATCGCCGTTGCATCCCCAGACGAGCCTGCAATTTGGCCCCCGAGATGCAGGCTACCTTGGCACCTGTTATCGAAACGCGAGATCTATGATTCGCATGCAAAGTCGAAACGCTTACAGGTAGCAAAAAGTCTCTCGTTCGAGGCTTGCTCGTTGCAGCCCCTCGAGCGGAATCTCTGCGGCGAATCAATGAGAAACAGGACAACGGAAGGGAGAGGGGGGCCTCGAAGACGTAGCAAAAAATAGGTGGAGAATAGGAGCAGCCAGGATTCGGTAAACGCTAGTTTGGCGCAACCTGCGGCCGAAGGGGGACGCCCGACCGGGGGAAAGATGATTACACGTGTCTTTTTAACACAAAAGGCTCGAAAACCAACACCGTAATACGACGGGGTGCCCGGCGCCTTGTAATTCGCCGCGTCCACGCCGGGGCATGGTTTCGTGATGAGACAACCGTTCTGAAAATTGCGATAGTCGCCACTAAAATAAGGCGAGATTGGCTCCGTGCCTTGGGACCGCGTCGTCGTTGACGGAGGCCACCTCTCCTGGACGAGTTATTATTTGCTTTTGCCCTGGGCGACGATCACGGTGCTTATCGTGCCACCTCGGATGCAACGGTGGGTGCGTCACGCCCAATACGTCTCTGCAAAATAAAAACAAACTCTCTTGTTACCTGGAAACGCGTGGGTGCTACGATTGAGGGAGGGGGGCTGTTGCTTTTCGGGGGGGAAAATTTAGCGGAAATTAGAGAAAATACGAAGTTGTGAGTTGGAAGAAAGTTTGGAGATAGGAGGTGTACATTTAAATGTAAGAATTCTGTAAGGGTAGATATTTTAGTCATTTTTAATAAAGTGATTATATATTGTCTATTTTATTGTCTATCGTATATTTGTCTGATCATATATTGTCTGATCATATATTGTCTGATTATATATTGTCTATCATGTACTCTCTATCATATATTGTCTGTCATATATGTCTATCGTACAATTGTCTATCAGATAATTGCCTATCATAATGTCTATCATATATTGTCTGTCGTATATGTCTATCGTACAATTGCCTATCATATTCTCTATCATATATATTTTCTATCATGTATTCTCTATCATATATTGTCTGTCATATATGTCTATCATAATGTCTATCACATATTGTCTATCATGT